TCGGATATGGAATGATCAAAAAGCCACAAATATATGCAAAATATAAATTTTAACGGTTTTCAACGGTTTAACGGTTTAACGGTTTTCAGATTCTGGCCGGGGGGGGGCCTTCCCTGGGGCCTGGACTCTATTAATAATTATAAAATCACTCAATTTAGTACCACAGAATAACCCACCCTCGTATATAGTTAATTGTAGGGGTACTGGTTCATCATATCTGTATTCACAATCATGCTGTCCTCCACCGGGCGCTCGCCCCATGTGTATCCCTATATAAAACTGTTTGTGAGTGTGTGTGTGAGTGTGTTTGGATATATATGAAATACGGGGAATGCAACAGGCACATGGGAATGATGCTCAGCGAGGATGACATCTATGCAAAGTTGGACACTGCTCATGATCTGTACCAGAAAATGATGAAAGAAATGCAAGATGATCTAAAACAAATTTTGCAAGTGGATCTATTAAAGATAAATCAAGCTTTAGATTCAATCATTGAGAATCTGGACAATAACATTATGACCATTGAACAGTATGCGAATAATCTTGATGCGATCATTGATAAAATAGTTAAATTCAGAAATGCGAATTTCGTTACAAATGGATCATTGAATCGAACCCTTAGTTATTTGACTAAATCCTTGTATGCTTATTACGAAGAATTAAACGAACGTGGAAAACTTTTTGATATCGTACAGAAACGAAAGAATGATATATTGAACGTAACTTCAATCGGCATAGAGAATCATATAGGTGCTTTGTTGTATATCCATTCATTGGATGACCCATATATGATAATGAATTACAGATTGTCTCATCTCGATAAAATAATACGTGGAATGAAAGATATGGAAAAAGAGATCAACAAAAGATTCGGAATGAAATTTAATTACAGCAACTTTTTGGATAACATACAGCAGCATACTTCAGGAGATCATTTTCATTTCATCATGATGTTCGCTCTTAAACAACCAGACAAGACCTAAAACGAAGCTTGATCCTTCAATTACGATCTCGGGTCATTGGTTTGCGTGACTCCCAAGAAAGACCCCGAGGGGGAGTTGACGGACTCCCGGTAGTTGAAGCTCTGCTGGATCCCGTCGGCGCGTGTGTAGGTTGTGTTGTTCTTGATGAGCTCGATGGAGAGAGCGAGGGAACGGATTCGCTTCTTCTTCTTCTCTTGCTCCATCACCATGCTTTGTGGGGAGTGAAGCCTGCCCCTAGTTCTTTTTTTCCCCGTGTTTTTTTTTCTTTTTTTTAATACCAAAAAAAAAGGTTTTCCCTCCAAGTAGCCCGTCCCGCCACCGCCCGTCCAAGACTATTCCCGCCACGCGAGAGCAGCATGCCGATTAACAAGAGCAACCGCCCCGAGTCCGATGCCTCCATGGAGGTTGAGGATGTTGTAGAAGCTACCCCAGGATCCATCCCAGGAGCCACCGTCAACACGGAGCTCCTGGTCCCCGAGCCGCTCCTCCACCCCAGCAACCTGTGGCTGGAGGGGCTGGTGCTCCCCTCCCCGGAGGACCGCCACGAGAACCTCCCCACGGTGATCGCGATGGTGGTGGACCCGGTGTACTGCCGCCTGGGGGTGTTCAACCAGGCGAAGACGATGTCGGGCGGCGATTCCAGGTCGTTGCCGAGCCACTTTGTGGTGCTGGCGCCCTTCTCCGCGGGCTGGGGCAAGGCGCCGCTGGAGGACAAGCCGCTCAAGAACGCCGAGTTCCTGAGTGAGATCCATGTCGATGCGGACGGGAGGCGCGGCCTGATGATCTACTCCTTCGACAAGCACGAGAGCAACCAGCAGTACAAGGGCGCCGTAAGGAAGGACGTCGCTACCCTGGTCCAGTCGGGCTGCACCCTGCGGCTCTCGACGACGACAAAGACCTTCGAGTTCGAGAAGCAGAACAAGAAGACCGGGCAGAGGGCGCTGTTCCCGGATGTGGACACCATCCACCCCTTCACGCTCGTCAAGCTCTTTCTCAAGCCGAACAATGCGACGAAGGTCGACACTCCGGGGGACGTGGTCACGATCAAGAGCATCGAGATCATCCCGCTCACGCTGTACTCCTTCGTACCCGCGATGGGTGATTTCCCCGCCACCTTCGAGGAGCAGAAGACCATCACGGAGGTGTGCAAGACCTACGCCCCCGAGGGCTGCCGCCCCTGCTCCAACTACCTCTTCAGCAACGGCGGGGAGGTGATGCTCCTGAGGAGCGTCTCTTGTCTCCTCCGGGCCTCAGTCGATGAGGACGGCGCCGGCGTCACGATCTCGAACGCCTGCCTCGACTTTGAGATGGGCAAGTCCATGATCGACGAGGTGCGCATCGACGGCCCCACGCTGATGCGGTACACGAACTGCTCCACCGTGAAGCGCGCGTGCCAGCTGCTCGAGGTCGCCGCGAGTTGCGGTTGCCTGCAACTGATGGTCGTCAAATCCTGGGTCTCCTACAAGGTTGATGAAGACACGTGGAAGAAAAGGCTCGTTTACCGCGCCGCCCCTATCATCGACTTCCTCCGTCTGCTCGGCATCGACGTCTCTGCCGGCACGGACGACGACGTGCTCCGCTTCCTCCTCCACGCCCCCCAGACCCGGGACAGCACCGTCGTGATCCGCAAGGACGGCAACGCCAAGATCAGCTTCGACGCGGTGCGGCGCTGCCTCGTCCACGAGACCCACCGCTTCTTCAACTTCGAGGAGGACGGCAAGGAGCTCAAGCGGGAGATCATCGTCCGGCTCGACCTCCGCATCCTGTCGGACCCTTCCAAGGAGCTCCCGGTCGACCCATCGGTGTCCATGGACTGGCAGCCCTACCACGCGTCCTACCCCGTCCCCAAGTGCTGCCGCGTCCACATCGACCTCGGACCCAAGCTCAACCCGGAGGGCTACGCCGTGGACCTCGACATGCAGGCCGTCCCCAACTACCTCTGCATGCAGCTCAACCTCTCCTCCTCCCGCGCCCCCTCCGTCCCCGGGATGGGGAACGCCGCCCAGGAGGCCAAGACCTGCCGCAAGAGGGCCGCGCCCAGCGTGGAGGACGCCGACTCGTTCTGAGTTTCTAAGTCTTTCTAAACTAACATGAGAGTAAAATTCGTAACGTTTATGATGATAATATGATATGGGAATCTACATGTAGAGGTTGCGGGCCGCCGAGTTCAGCGCGCCCGAGATGTCGTCGTCCTCCGAAAGCTCCGAGTCCGAGTCCATGCCGCCGTTGAACTGCGACGCTCCCGTCACCATGGCTTGTGGGTTGGCGTTCATGGCCCCCTCTGCCTTCTTCTCTTGCTTGAGCTGCTTGAGCTTGGGTGTGGGCAGCTTCTTGGCTTTGTTCTCGTTGCAGAGTATGATCCAATAATCCAGGTTGTAGCGCGTTGGCATGCCCGTGGCTGGATTCCACATGGAAACTTCATCAAAGTCACCTTCCTGTATATCTTTGGCTTCGATGGGCTTGCTGTACAATCTTGTCTGCCACTTTACAAGCTTGCCTTGCATGGCGAGTGCCTTGGCCTCGTTCATCATCCTCTCGTCGTATGCTTTACGCTTGGTCCATATGGCCTTCTGCTCCTCGGTGATGCCGGCCTTGCCGAGCTCCACCTCCGCGTTGCTCTTCAGGATGTAGAAGTGGACGTACTTCTTGTCGGCGTTCATGTTGTTGATGTTCACCATGTGGAGGTACAGGTAGTCACCGTCGTGAATGTTTGCCAGGACATCGACCCGGTCACTCCTCCAGATAGGCAATGCGTCGAGCTCCTGGGCCATCACCGACCCGTCTGCCTTGAAGATGATCTTGGGGTGGTCGATTTGGTGGTCCGCCAGGGCCTTCTTGAAGGTCTGGTAATGCATGTTCTCCTTGTTCCAGCTGCCTTTGTAGATCTTGCCATCTTGCTTGGAGTAGGTGGGCATGGCTTGTCACTCCCAGCTCTTCCGATACCGCTCCCCATGGCTTTAAATACGGACCAAAAGAGTGGGCGTGCCATTCTTCCCATTATTTCTTGGCTGCCTGACCTCTCTGATTCCCTTTCCCTTTTCCCTTTCCATTCCCTTTCCCTTTTCCCTTACCGTTTCCATTCCCTTTCCCTTTCCCCTTCCCTTTCCCCTTCTTTGTTTTGTTACTGCCCGGGGGTATTACACCGCGCTCTTTGGCGAGCTTGTGCGACGGGGTGTTTGCTGTATTGGCTTGTTTCTTCTCCTTCTTCTCCCCGGTCGGGTTCTTCGCGGCTGCCTTCAGTGCCTTGGCAAGGGATGTGTTTGTATTGCCACGGACACGGATGGTCTTATTGAATAGAAGTAGACCTTTGATCAAAGCTATCATTTTCTTCGTGGTTGGGGTTATAGTAGTTTCATATGCATTCTCTAGCATGGTAATCGTTTTTTTGATCATACGCTCCTTGATTTCGTTGTATTTCTCTGTCATTTTAAGCAATGTTTTGATCTCTTCCCTCTTTTCGGGTGTCTTGGTCTCTAACTTGGCTCCAAGGTAGGCCTGGACGTTGATCGAGTCCAAGTCGAGTGGGGCGGAAAATGCAGAACCAATCATGCTGAACTGACTGCCTCCTGCTGGTGCCATTGGCACATCAGGATTCGATGATCCACTTAAGTTATTAATGGTTTTGATTGTTTGCTCAATGTTCTTGTCTGTGATCTTGAGGTTGACCAGCCTCTTGTTAAGTTGGATCAGTGTCTGGTTGGGGTCGAAGGGTGTGCGGACCTTTCCAAGGAAGATAGATGGTTGTATCTTCAGAACTGTGATGATTGAAAATTCTGAATTGTCGTCCCATAGAGGACTGTGATTTAAAAATCCACTAGGTAGAAGATCAATCGTTGCTCTTCTTTGACTATCGGAAATTACGATATCCATGTAACCCTGGTTTACCTTTTTCCTTTGATCATCCATTAGTATTTTCAGCTCGTTTTCCTTCGCATTTGTTGTTTGATTTTCACTCATCGCTTGCAATATCTCATTTTTCTTGTCTGATATTTCTTTCTTGAATCTTTTGCTTATTTGACTTTTTTCACCAATGTATTTGTTCAGTTGGTCTTTGATGGCCGGGTTTTTCCTCGCCAGCTCAGTGTATGAGATCAGGTCGATCTTCTGACCGTCGTTGTACAGGTACATCGTACAACCGTGCCCTTTCCGACGCGTGTGCGATGATCTTTAAATATGCGGCAGGGTGCATCGACACCGTGCAGCAAGTCCTTTTAGGCTCAATCCACGGAGGTCGCTGGGGGAGGGGACGAAGGGGGAGGGGAGGGAATGAAGCAGGTCGACCTCACCCGCAACCAGCTGGTGGTGGCGGGCAAGGCCTGGGAGCATGAGCGGAGCCCGTGCTGCCGTGACATGATCCGGCACCTGGTGAGGAGGGAGTGCTACTGCAGCTGGTTCCAGCCGTCGGGCGGGGGGCTGCAGGACCAGTTCCCGGCGATCCGGATGGGGGAGAGTTACTACACCCTGAGCCTCAGGATCCAGAAGGCCATGTTCCGGCACGTCCGCCTGACGAAGGGCTTCCGCAACGTCGAGCGCCTTCCCGACGGGAGGCTGAAGCTCCGCATCCCCACGCAGCTCCTCGTGGAGAAGAAGCGCACTGCAACGCGGTTTACCGTGAGTCGTTGGGAGGGGTGTATTTAGAATCTGCGCGGGTGACGATGAGCTACAGGTGATGCGCTCCAAGTCGGGCGCGCCCTGTGGGGTCGGGAAGCCGTCCTACTCCAAGCGCGTCAGGCTGGAGCGCAAGGCCGAGGCCTCCGACCTCATCGACCTCACCGACATCATCAACGGCATCCTCGGCCCCGCTGCTGCCGACTCCCGGCCTAGCTACACCGCCTTTTTCTTATCCGAGGCCGAGACCGCCGAGCACGTCGTCCAGCACCTCTTCCGCGAGTGCCCCACCCTCACCCGCGATCGGATGGAGTTTGTCAGGTCCATGACGCGGTTGTATGATAAGATCGTTCAAAACTAATTTTACTTATTTAACAAGTCTAGTGCATAGCGTATCTGTCTAGCATCGAGGAGCTCAGCTTCCCGTCCCCGCCGTAGACCGGGACGCGGATGCCGATGGTGTCGTAGGGGTATGGATGGAAGGGGCTGCGCATGTACTTCTTTGAATTTTCTAAGTCTTGAAAAGCCCTCTCCGCCTCTCGTCTGGCGGCATGCTTCGCATGATTAGCTTCAGCCTCATCTTTTCTTTTTTTAGTTAGTTTTTGAATCTCCTCTGTACTCATGTGTCGAAGTCCGTGTGGGTCCTTGTTGATCAGGTTGTTCACATGTTTGCCGGCATTCATGACTTTTTTTCCCGCACCCTTGAGCCAACCATCGGTTCCATCCTTATTCGTCCAGAAACCCTGGAAGCACGGCAGGTGGTGGATCAGCGCGGGGTCGGCGGCGATGACGCCCTTCATCGCCTGCCACAGGCCGTCGCGGAGGTGGGCGTTCATGTCATCGAGGACATCCGGGTCCTGCATGATCGTGAGCTTCAGGTGGGTGAGGTCCGCGGGGGAGACGGTCCTGCAGCCACGGATGGAGGCACCGAAGTGATTGCTTGCAGTGGCTGCAGCAGGCTGGTTTTCCTCCGATTCTTCCTCGGAAGTTTCATCTCCTTCCTTCGTCTTCTTCTTAAGTTTTTCCCTTATATAATCGGCGGCTTTCGTCGCCTTATCCTTTGCATAATCGTAAGCTGCCTTCCCTTTCTTCTTTAACCAATCCACCAATCCCGCCAGCGTATGCCTATCCAACCTATCCAGGATGTCGGGATTTGCGGAGATGAACTCCTTGACGTCCTCCCAAAGCTGCCCCTGCAGGTGGTCGTCGATGAGGTCGAGGACCTCCGGGTTGGACGAGATAGAGCTCATGAGCTCGAGATGGGAGTCAAGGGTAGGAAGGGTAGAATGACAGCGGTAGCGTTCATGGAACGGTTGATAGAAGTACCCAGGTTGCGGTGCCAGCAGGGCCATGGCGGTCGGGCGGGCACTTCTGCGCAGGGGGGCGAGGCAAGTCCTTAAATGGTACGATCGGGTGTTGCGGAATTCCATCTTTCTCTTACATTCATTAAACAAACTTTCGCATTCTACACCAACCCCTGGTACGCAAAGATGTCCTTCTTGACCCACTCCGTCACACTTAGGGTGATCACGAGGGTGAAGACGAGCAGGAGCACAGCCGTCTGCTTCATCGCCGTGACCGTGTGGATGTTGAGCGCTGCCCTGTCATTGATGAAATCGGGGAGCATGTACACGGCAAACAGCCCGAACACAAAGTACAGCCAGTTGTAGAAGAGGATGTAGCTGTAGGCCGTGATGCTCTCCGTGGGCACTGCCGTGAAGATGAGCGCGACGAGGATGAAGAGCTGCACGTACGTCACCATGTCCTTGTACCCCTGGTAGTGGTCGTACACGGCGGATCCCTTCATGCCCAGGTCGCCAGAGAGCCTCAAGGACCGCGTCCAGAACGACGTCATCCAATCGTTCGACATGCTCACGACAGTGAAGAAACCGACGAGCACGGCGTAGTAGTACAGGATGCCGTTGTCGGTCCACTGGCGCGTCAGCACCGTCCCGATCGAGAGCGCGACCATCGCCGGGACCAGCATCACGTCCAGCCAGAGCTGCTCGAGCTGCGCCTGCGAGTTCAGCGAGTCCGAGACCTTGTAGACCGTGGCGTCATTGGCATCCCTGTACGCAATGGTGTAACTGTCATGCTCGCCGTTCACCATCATCCGCAGGGCATCGACGATGTGGGTCTTGCTGCTCTGGTAGAAGTACGGAATGACGAGGACAAACAGGATGACCAGGAACACAGACATCAGGGACAGCGTGGTCACCGGGTCGAAGTTGCAGATGTCCTGGTCGCAGGAGTTCTTGATGCCCAGGAAGAGGCCCGTGAAGACGATCACCACGATAAAGGTGAGGACGAAGTATAAGACGAGTTTCCGGAGCAAGGACTTGGATTCGTCAAGGGCTGTCTTGGGATCAACGTTATTTTTAATCATTGTCTTGATCGTCTCCGAGTTGCTGCTGTGCAGGAAGTTGGCCATGACGATGGCTGAGGTGGCGACGAACATGAAATAGTAGAAATAGTAGAGGGGTCGGTACGCCGTCTTCACAACGTCGTACTGGTATGGCATGTCGCCCTCGTAGGCGCAGAAGTGGATCATGTCCTTCACCTCAGATAGGGTCGGCGATGTGGTCTGCGTCGACACCCAGGTGTTGCCCAGGGCGTGGGCCACCTGCGCGATGCAGTTGCAGCCACCCGGGACCCACACGGAGTTGTTGACCGAGACACCCGCCAGGGTGTAAGGGTCGTGCTGGTGCGGGACGTGCTTGTCGGTGATGTACTGGTCGCACTTGGCCCAGTGCCACAGGGCCTGCACTCGCGACGAGGAGGTGGAGCCGGTGGTGATGGCCTTGAGTGCATCCTCCAGCCCCCCGTACTCGTTCCAGGGGCGCAGGGTGTGCGTGACGATGCTGGTCGGGAACTCGCGGGTCTTAAAGTCCAAAATAAGAGAGGTGATGGCGAGGGCGACGGTGGCAGCGAATAGGAGCGCGGCGATGTACCCATTCACGATCTTCCAGCTGTGGTTTATCGCAAACACGTGGACGATCGCGTTCTTGTCGTCTTCATCGGCCTTGTTCGAGGTATTGTAAGGTGAATAGGGTGCGTCGAAAGCGGGCGTCCCGGGATAGGTGGGCTTCTTCACCACCACCATGCGTGCCCCGTTTCTCGCGCCCCGCAATGTCTTCTTTAATACTACGCATCAATGAAGCTAGGACGAGTGGGTTACGGAAGGGATCTTTAATGGAGAATCAAGGCAGCATGGCATCCCTTGATGTACCTACCTCACCTCTCCAGTCTAGGACGGTTGACGCCCCATCCCGCCGCGCCGGATTTGATCCGCTTGTACCCGAAGGTCTTGGAGTACGGGTCCGGGTGGTGGTCCTGGGCGTTCCAGTAGTGGAGTGTCCAGAGGGCGTTGCTCGCGTGGCTCCTGAGGTAGTTGACGTCCGGGAGCTTCGCCACGGTCCCGGCGCTCATCTGCCCGCAGCCCCTGACCCCGCGGATGATGCGCTCCTCCTCCTCGCGGCGCAGCTCCCTGGCCACCCCCTCACGGGTGGCGGACTGGTTGACCCTCAGGCTGACGCGCTTCTCGTAAACCAGTGCATACAGGACGGCGGAGGCCAGGGAGATGACGGAGACGTCGTCGTCGTGGCTGTCCTCGGTGCCCTGGATCAGGGCAAGGAGCGGGACGATGGCGCGGCGGTTGGCCCACACCCGGACGGGCCCCACGGTGGGCAGGCCCTGCGTGTAGTCGCAGCCGGTGAGGATGGTGAAGAGCGCCAGCACGGAGCACGCGTTCGGCCTCCCCCCCGTCAGCGGCCCGACGTCGCGGCAGAGGACCTGCGCCAGCCGGTTGATGTGGACGTACTCGTGCTCCATCCTGCCCGAGGCTGACTTCTCGGGAGTGTCTCCCCTCGCATTCACCCGGATGCGGTACACCGCGATCTGGGGCACCGGTAGCCCACCCCGGCACAGCCGCTCGACGTGAACGAGGGCCATGGGTACGTAGTCGCCGTCGATGGCGTCGATAACCATGTCCCCAAGGTGCGTGTAGGAGGTGAACTTCACATCGCTCTCTCCCTTCAGGTCCGCGTGGGTGAGCTGGAAGGGGCGGCAGGTCCCGTTGGGGAAGTGTTCGATAGGGGCTTCGTTGTGGTCTATGATGAGCCTCTGGTCTGCTTGGAGGGTCAAGTACCCCGGGAGCTTCGTCTTGATGTAGTCAATGACCCGGGACTTGAAGAGCCGATTCCGGATCGCTCCCTCCCAGTCCTCCGGGATGATGGGGGGGAGGCAGTCCCCGCTGGCGAAGCTGAAGCTCGACACCTTGCGGTTGCGCTTGTGCTGCGTCATGCCCTTGCAAGTCGGGACGTGCTCATAGTTGTCGAAGGCCAGGACCACGGTCTTGCAACCGGACTGGAAGTGCCTCCTCACGCAGCTCACGAACTGGCAGGAGAGGAAGCCCTCCCACGTGTTGATGCTGGATGGCTTCATCAGCTTGATCTGCCCGTCGATGAAGGCCACGGTGGGTGAGAAGGGCAGCCCCTTGCTGAAGGCGTCCCTCGCCACCTCCTTCCACAGCTTGATCCACTCCGAGTTGATCGTCATTCGATTTTTTTTGCATTGGACTGTGCCAAGCGACGCCCGTCCCCACTGGACCCAAAAAAAAGAAAGAAAAAAGAGAAGAAACAAAAAATCACGACGCACCATCTTCTCCGTATCGTCACTGCACAATGGTGTGTATTTAACATGATGGTATTGTTGAGAAGGGCAAGGATTATGGGCAAGTGGCTCAAGATCAAGGATGAGACAGGGATACCCAAAGAAGATTTAGAAAAGCTCCATGCGCTTGAATCCAACATTGAAGAGCTTAATCAAGCTGTCATCAAGCTGTTGTACAGTTCTACTGTGTCCACCAGGAAGAAGAAGCTAGAATATATCATCTGTTTCTTCCAGACACTATTGAATGTCCTGCAGCTGGAAAAGATATTCCCAATGCGTTACACACTCATTGACAGTGATAACTTCCGTAACTCTCTGGAGGTCCGGGTAGACTGCATGAAGATCGTGGATATTCACATGCAGAACTGCGCCCCCATCATGATGAGCTTCTTTGATGGGATCACCAATGTTGACAATGACGATGGCACGGCGCAGATCAACGAGGTCTTTGACCAGTTTGGCCAGCTGCTCCAGACTTGCAAGGATCTGGATGATGTCTTCAATGAAGTACACTCCAAGTATCAGTCCACACACACGGCCTACAAAACCAGCATAGGTGATCGAACCATGTTCGACAAACTAAAGGAGTGCATCTCAGAGATCACCGATAAGGTCCGCGATGCTGACATGGGACCCCGCCTCAACAACACGAAGCGCATCCTCTGGAGGACAATGACCTGCGTGCAAAGAATGATGCCCGAGGCGCAAGATCTTCTTTTTTGAGCCCGATGGTGTATAAGACGGGCGGGGCTACCGACCGGACCCAAGTAGGATGGTGCACTGGAGGTACGCATTGCGGTACCTTTCCGCGACGTATTTAGCAAGGGTGCAGCCCGGCTATTTTGATTCGGAGGACGGTGAGACGGGACATGGGATACCGTCCCATCATGCTTCCCACGCTCACCCTTCTGGGAACATTCCAGGCAGCAGCCGCGTACTTCTTGAGCCTCTCCGACCAGGGTATGCCGACGGCAGTGACGGCGGAGGGACAGAGGTTGATCCGGTGGACAGGCGGGGACACACACCAGCTCCTCCGCTCCAGCCGCGGCGTCCGGATCAACGAGAGGGGAATCCTGTTCATCCGAGCCGACGGGATCCGGACGGAGGGGTGGGAGGCAATCCCGTGCCGCCCGGGCCCGTCATCCCTGTGCACCACTGACGGGGAAGCCGCTTCTTCCCGATCGGCTCGACCTTCATCTCGGGGAACGTGTCAGGCGTGTCTCCCGAGATCTACCCGATTGCGGAGGTAGGATGTAGCTCGGCGGGGACGGGAAGGATCATTGTCAACCCAGCGGGGGTCTACGACGTCTCCGTCTGCGACGCGATCGGGGAGAGGCTGGATGTGCTCTGGGATGGGGAGCGCACCTACCACCGCAGGATGGCCACCCCGACCTGGCTCTACGTCGTCATCAGCCTCACCAGCATCTACCTCGTCAGCTGCACCGCCCAGAACCTCTCCCATCTGTTATTCCAGGACCAACAGAAGACAACCACCCCGGTACACCCGGAATCGTACCTCCGCTGGACCGCCCGCGCCGTGGAGGTCGGAGGGGTTGCTACCACCGTGGGACTCTCCGTGGGGTACACCCTCGCTGGAAGCGAGCTCGTCCTCAACGAGGAGATCGCATACGCCGTCGTCATGATCGTCTACATCGCCATACACTTCGCTGTACTCAGCTACAAGGTCCTGACCACAGACGTAAGGCACCGCGTCGCCCACTTCCTCACCTTCAACCTGAACACAGGGATACTTCTCTTGCTCACCCAGAGCGTGTACAAGACCCTCGCGAATCCATACGTCGGGATCCTCCTCGTCATGCTCACCCTAAGAAGCTTCTATAAACTCCTGGAGCTCCAGGTCGGGAGATGGGCGGAGGGGAAGGATGTCCGGAGCGACGAACTGGCGTGCGAGACCCTGCTGCTCCTCTTTGATGCCACCGTCGTGGCCTTGACCCACTACGTCGGGTTTCGGAGGTCGTTCCTCTTCCCGTTCGAGGGGGATGCGAGCTTCGTGGTGGTCTGTGTGTTCGCTTGGTTTGTTTCTAGGTTTGTTATTAAAGATTTGTAGAGTATGTTGAATATGAAAAATATGAGATGTACAGCGCTATTGTCGCTTTCAGTGTTGTGGTCTTGCATTCAGTATTGTGGCGCTGTAAACGTCGACCAATGGGAAATCACCTTTTGTCTCACTAGCTGCTGTACAGGTACCGGGGTGGTATCAATCAGTAGATCAGGTTTGTGGGAATTATGTGGATGCGCTGCTAATTACTATAGAATCTCAGGACAGAACGCGTGCGGGGCATGTACTACCTGTACTGGCGACAACTATCAAACAGGGATTTGTATTAGTATTTACCAAACTACGTGCGCTGCTTGTTATCAATGTAGTTCAAATGAATATGAAACAACTGCCTGTAGAGCTAATGGAGCTAGTACTAACCGTCAATGTACTACTTGTCGGAGTGGATGTGGTGCAGATACATATCAAAGCAAAGACTGCCAAGAGGGCGCAGTAACTCAGAACCGCGTGTGTACCGATTGTCGAGGAGCATGTGAGACAGGGAAATACCAATTCAGAGACTGCCAAGAGGGTGGAGTAACGCAGAACCGTGTGTGTAATGATTGCCCTGTATGTGATACTGTGAGTGGGCTGGTTGTCGAATACAGATCGGGATGCACGGGAACCAGCTCCGGGACATGTACTGCTTGCACATCATGCAATGGCTACCAGGAGGGATATGGAAACCAGTATACCACCGGATGTAGCGGCATAAACGGGCCAGGGACCTGCGATTGGTGCATCAATCGAGCACAAAAATGTTCTGCTACGGAATGGTTGAAAGACTGTGGTGGTTTTAACCCTGGGACCTGTACATCCTGTACGACTGCCACGAACAAGTACTGTCCAGAAGGACAATACAGAAATCCAGACTACGTTTGTTCGAGAGGTTTGTCCGACATCGAATGCATCGACTGCGCCTGTGCAAATCCGAATGAGGTGAAGATAGGCTGTGGGGTAGATGGCGCCGACACTTCACGTGCATTCAGTGTGGGCACATGTGTACCATGCCCGGAGACATGCCTCTCTATGGGCGTTTACAACCAGTATGTCCCCAATTGTGGCACATCACAGGTCTGCCAGCAAGGAAGCTCCTGCAGAATAGCCAATGACGGGGGTTATATCTACTCCACTGCATACCACGTCTTTGATACGGTATGTGCACCCAAGACTGCCTCCATGCTCTCGCAGCAGTATCAATCGGATGGCATGACCCCCACGATGACCTGGATCGAACACGAGTATTGTATGTCCCCCTTCGAACGCTACTGTACTGTGAACCGCATCATCATGACCACGATCGTGTCGGGCGGGTACGCCTTTGCACAGTGCGCCTGCCGTGCGGGGTACTACGTGAAGTACCAGAGCAAGGACGCATTGACGGAAGAGGAGACGAACTGCCTGACGTATCAAGGGGAGTTGCTGACCGCGTATTACATGTGTGCCCGCTGCCCCTCCCACACGTACTCCACGGACTACGACATCGGGTGTAAGTTCTGCCCCCTCGGACAAGAGCCCAACCAACAGCAAACGGCGTGCAAAGACTGTCCACGTGGGACGAAGCTACAGCTCCTCCCGGACCAGGGCACCAACGTCGTGTATGTCTGTGTCCCGTGTGAACCCGGCACGTACCAGGACGGTGCCCCGGAGATTGACTACTGCAAGCCCTGTCCCTTTGACCAGTATTCCGGCTACGGTGAGTCTTCCTGCCACTACTGCGACGGAGCGACGAACCACTCCATCGACAGCGTCCACTGTGTACAGTCCTGCGGTGGCTTCTGCGAGTACTGGAACTCCGTCACCCCGTATACCAAATACAGCGGGGACAAGGTGTGCCCGGACCGGGAGCCTACCAGCACCTGTGTGGACTGCGGTTCACCTGTTTGCGCTGTCTTGAAGCAGAGCCCCACCCACACTGTCACGGACGAGTGCAAATATTGCGTTGCCTTGGGCTTCGATAGCACCACGAAACAGGATGTGGGGCAGGGCTTGCTCTTCGTGAACCAGTCGGATGTGCCGGGCTTCAGCTACCTGTCGTGCGCAGCCCTCCCCTTCGAGGTGTGCAACACTGCATTCCGCACGGAGCTGTCCAACGACCCGCAGTACGCCCTCTTCGGGAGGTACGACTGCCAGGGGTTCAGCCGCGGGGAGGGCAACCCGACTCCAAGGTACGGGAGCTGCTTCGACTGCTACTCGCTGGCCTCCACCTGCCTTGCCGGGGAGTACGTGGCATCGTGCCAGTGCAGCGACACATCCGCAGGGACCCAGGCGGCCTGCACCCCCCAGCAGCACTGCCAGACATGCTTCCCTGTCGTCTCTCCCAATGCCGTCATCTACAAAGCCACGGAGAGGCTGTCCTGCCAGGTCACCTGCCAGCAGGGTTACACCGGCATATCTCTCGAACAAGTCTGCACGGAGCCCTGCGGGGACGCACCGACCTGCAGCGGGGTAACGTTCCCCATTCCCTGCTCCCCACCGCGGAAGGCGTACTGCGAGGAGTGCATCAACACACACACGAACATCGACGGGATCATCGTGGGCGCGGGGGCGTATTCCATGGAAACCAACTGGATTGACAAGGTTTCAAACTCCCGGATCGGCAGCTTTGAGAACCTCATGATCCTCAAGCGGGCGGTGGCCTACGAAAACACCCTGTGCGTCAGGGGAACCAAGTTGTCGGGCAGATCAACGGGTTCGGGAGTGCCTCTTACAACTCGCTCGCAGATCCGCAGGTGTTCCTCTTCCCCACCCGCTGCTACTGGGACGGGGACCTGACTTGGCAGGACAACCTCCAGCTCCTACCCTTGGAGAACCGCTTCGTCCAACCGGGCACCCCGCAGTGGGAGACGGACGCGGTCGCGTACGCCATACCGCAGAACAACAACCAAATGGGCGACACGGTCCTCTTCTTAAAGCTATTCGCAGGTACAAAGACGCTGAGGATAGGCGCATTAGACCTGTCTTCCGCAGATGGAAAGATCAATGGTTGGGTCGTGTCTTTCCACTACAAGACGACGCAGAACGCAGAAGCACGGATCACACTCGGTAATTCCCTGACTATCACCCTTCAATCGCAGGCAATATGGGACATCGCCATCCTCACCGGCTTCGATTACTACTCATCTTCCGCGGTGCTATCGGTGGGTTTCACCCCCATCGTCTGGACGGACCTCTACCTCGACGAGTTCAGCGTGGTCCCCAACTTCCTGTACGGCGCCCCCACCTGCAATACAGCAGACGGCATCGAACTGTGTTCCGGTGCACAGCTCAATTTCCCGCACGAGGCCAACCTCCAGGAAATCTACGGCGAAGGCACACTCCCCGCCACCCTCCCCTTCGGGGTCCGGCAGTTCCACCTCGTCTTCACCCATGCGGCTATAGCCGGCAGCCTCTCCGTGTGGATGGAGGTCAATGACGAGAAGGTCCCGATCTGCACCAAGGACCTCTCTAGCAGCGTGTCGCTCCGGCACATCTGCACGCTCCCGGTGTACCTGAGCTGGCGGGGGACAGCGAAGTACCCCCTCGTCACGGAAGGCCCACCCGGCCTAGGGACAGGAAGCCTGCACCTCACCCTCCACCCGATGGCGTGCTCCTACCGCTGCCTCTTCAGTGAATACTTCTTCACAAACGACCGCTGCGTGCGCTGCAACACCACCTGCCTTCCCGGCTCGGCCTTCCAAGGCTGCAACCCGGACGGGACCCCGATATGCGTGACCTGCGCGGAGGCCCTTCCCGCCTTCGCCAGCTGGCTCCCCAATGTGTGCGAGTACGAGTGCTTCCAAGGGTACTACGCGGCCAACTCCAGCGCGTGCCTGGCATGCCCCACGTCGTCCTGCACCGTGGGCCAGCACCGGGCGGAGTGTCAGGCAGTCGTCGGAGCTCCCTGTCAAGAGTGCACAACCAAAAGGTCTACGATCGCAGCTTACGAAACGTTTGAAGAGTTCATCACGCCCGGTATACCCTTCGACTCGGATAACTGCATCACGCAGTGCGCGCAGGGCTCCTACCGCCGGGAGCCCAACTGCCTGCCGTGCCGTACCCTTCCATTCGCGGGATGGGAGCTGCGAAACTCCACCCCACATCGTACACTATCGTGCACGCAAGTCCAGAACGCGCTGGCCGTCGCCTGCGTGGGGCTGCAGCACGGGAGATACACGGGGTATGCCACCGGGATGGATGAGGATTGCCCAGTCGTGTGCGACGCGGGGTACTACCCGGCAACTTCCGAGGTGGCCTTTACGCTGCCGTTCTGGGAGGCTAAAACAAGGGCAGACAATAGGACGTTTTCAGAGAGGCGCTTCAACCTAACCGTCTGCAACCCCTGCATGGAAACGGCTTTATCAAACGGTGCCTACACTGCGGGCTGCTCCTACGTTTGCGATGTAAATTACGTCAAGAGCCCCACTGCCTCGAAGCCACAGAACTGCATCTACTGCCCTGGGAAGGCTTGCCTTCCAGGTGAGTACCAGTCCGGATGCCACCTGCAAGCCACCTGCCTCCCCTGTACTTCCTTGGCAGACCCCCACAGGGAGTATACCGCGGAGGGTCTCTTCGAAGATTCGGACTCCTGCCCCAACCAGTGCTCCACCTCGTACTGGTCACCTTCAGCGCTCACCAATTGCACAGCCTGCACCCCCGAAGCCTCTCTCTCATGCAACCTCTCTTCCAACTACATCCAGACCTGCACTCCCACCTCAGACGCTTCTTGCAGGCCCTGTTCGGTATCCTGTGACCCTGGATACTTCACCGCCGCCCCTTGCTCCGACTATGCGGACCGCGTCTGCGACCGGTGCCTGAACCCGCTCCCCCAGCACGCCAGATTCCTAGCGGAGTGCATCGTGGAATGCATACCAGACTATGTCAGGCACAACGCAAGTTACTGCGGCTTCTGCGACCCTAGGAGGGTGTGCGGGGTGGGTACCTACTTCGACGACTGCAAGGCCAGCAATTCCTATGAAGGATGCTCCCTGTGCCGCAACGGCCTCGAGCAGAACCACAGCGTCCTGTACCTTACCTCTGGTGAACCCTACCAGCCCTACTCCTGCACCTGGAGGTGCGCGGTGGGGACGGTGCTCGGGAGGAACGCCACGGGGGGGCTGGCCTGCGTCACCCGCGCCAGCGACATCATCCCAACCCCGGCACCGCTCCAGACGCCGCCCTCCTCGTGCCCCCCGGGGCAGTACCTCAGCCCGCAGCTCCTCTGCGAGCCCTGCACCAACGCCATCCCTCCGCAGTACGCCATCTGGACCTCCGGCTGCACGTGGATATGCACACCGGGGAGGATCGCGGTGCAGGACCCCATCCAGCAGCGCTTCACCTGCATGGTCTACGCCGACTACCTCGACATCGTGCTCAACACCCGCCGCGTGCTGATCCAGAACCCCTTCAACGACACCTACCGCCCCCACGTGATGGGCTACAGCCGGGAAGCGACGGGGCTCGCGGCGGCGGGGTTTGCCTGCCTCGTTGGCTTCGTCGGCATGGCCCTCGTGTGTTGTCGTTACAAGTGAAGGATATAAAACAGGTATTGCAAGGAAGGCATGAAGATGAAGTACGAGGCGGTGGTCACCAAGAAGAACCTCCGGAGGCTCTGGACAGAGGTGGCCTTCGGGGAGCTGCTCGTCTTGACACAGCTGGCGGCGGCGGCCTTTGTCATGCAGTACAGCGTCTTCTTCTACCTCATGTTCAGCAAGGGGGGGATCCGGAACTTCGACGCCCCGTACTGCCAGTCGCTCTTCTACATCAGCGACAAGCTCGCGGTGGACAAGGGCACGGCGAGCCTCATGGTCATCAGCGGCATTTTGTCCTGGGTAGTGCTCGGCATCATCAGCAGCCGCAACCACCTCCTCCTGAACCGCGGGGTGGTCACATGGCTGGCCCTCCTCGGCTACGCAAGCACCATCGCAGTTGTGCTCTACGACAACATTTCTGACCACGGAGACGTGCACCTCCTTGGGGCAGGGGTCCTGGCATTGACCTACATCTGGGCGCAGCTCAACTACAGCCTGTCGGTATTCGAGTATGGGAGCATATCGAAATTCACCGCCTACGCCACCGCGGCGTTGACCTGCCTCTGCATTGTCTTCTTCGCCGCCTTTGGGATCGTCTACATCGCCTTCAACAACATGGCAGACCCCTGTATGAGCAACGTGATTATACTCGAGTATATCGTCTACCTCCTCATCTCACTCAACAACATCGTCATCTACACCGATTTCACCGCGGCGCACGCGTACGTGAAACTATGCCCAAAGCAGTACGCACACATAGTGGAGTACGTCGTGAAGGACCAGGATATTCCCACGGGGAAGCCTGTGATGGGAGGGAAAGGCATGGCAAGGCATGTCTGAAACACGCGGAAGTATAAGAAACACACTCTCAATTTTAATAAAAAAAAAGAAACAGTAGGAAGAATGATCCCTGTCCTGGCCTACGTCGCCCCGATGGTGCTTGCCGTCATGGGCTCAGTAGCGCTGATGGTGTGCTACCAGACACTGAGGCTCGTCGTCCCTGACGCGGAAGAATTCCAGAGAGACCCGCCTATCTTCAGCGCCGGGGGCTGTGCCCTGCTGTCTCACGGCTCGGGCGCTTCCAAGCACGACCTGCTCATCACTTCGAGCGGGCCGCCATCCTCGCAGGCGGTGGCGTTCCCTGTTACTCCCAGCGAGGACAAGAAGCTGTCCCCATCGGCCTCGAGTGCCTGCCTCTCTGCGGGACCGTTCGAGGATGCAATGGAGCCTTCATGAGAGAAAGGATGTGTGATTTCTGTAGTGTTGCAGTCAACGACCGTCTCGGTGTCGCTGAGGTTTTCCGTATCGGTATCACTAAGGATGTCTGTATCGACATCGCTGATTTCTTCCGTTTTGATGTCGTCTGCAAGCTCATCCGAAATGATGATAATATCATCGGCTTCTTCTGATTCACTTTCGTCCTCTGCTTCGCTCTCACCATCCTCGTCATACCGGAAGAAACCACCCCCCTTCTTCCCGGGGTACCAGTCCGAGTCGAAGCTCACCTCGCTGGCGCCGCTGTCTTCCTCCCCCTCATCCTCATCGTCGTCGTTGCTATTTTCCCTGGTATCCTCTTGTAGAATCTCCGGACAAGTCCTCCGCATGAGCCTCTCCCGCTCGAACTCCGCCTCCAGCGCTTGTGCGACGGAGCGGAACTGCGCGCTGCGCTCATCCAGCTGCTCCCACTCGAGAACCTCCCGGACGCGGTTCATGGCGTCCTCCACACACCTTCTCTTGGGCCTCTGGCTCATGCGGCAGTGTCGTGCCCCACTGCGTCGTTCCCTTCATGAAGGATGCATCCTTTTATTTGCGGGAGAGAGCAAGATAAGCTTTCACACTGCCTATGCCACGTGTGTCTCATTCAGCGGCACGAATACTTTCTCCTCCCCATTGACCTCTACGTACATCACGTGCCCATCCACGAGGGCGAAGTAGTTCGGGAGGGGGGTATGGTTCCGCCGGACAGGAGCCGGCTCTTCCTGGGAGGCGAAACCGTTGCACTGGAACGGGTTCCTTCGGCTCGTCCCGCTCTCCCCTCCGTGGCGGCAGGGAACGTTCCTCCCGCCCTTGTAGTGGCACTTCTCCCCAAGGAAGTGCCCACAGCTCCAGCACACAATGGGCTCTGGCATCCAGTTCTTGTACCACACATCGAGAAGGTCGTCGCTGGGCTTCCACTCCTCCTTCTGCCGCGGTGGCATCTGTACATAGCATCGGTGCCTGCATGGCGGCGCTCGCCATGCTTGCCGCGGCAAAAAAAAACAGGTGATAAAAAAACTCATCGCCCTCATACCCGACCCTGGGTCCCCAGGGAAAGGCCCCCCCTTGGCCAAGATTTCTGAAAACCGTTAAACCGTTAAACCGTTAAACCGTTAAAAGCTTCAACCATAGTCCGGCAATCCTTCTCCTTCAATCATTTTAAATAAGGTTCGCATATCATGAGTGATCGTTCCACCTGTGAAGTTGGCATCGGGTTGTTGATTAAGAGAGTATGTATATACATACAATATACATACATACATATACATACATACTATATACTATATACATACTATATGTATACTGTCCGGCGAACCTTCTTTAAAGGTTTTAAAGACCGTTGACTTTTAACGGTTTAACGGTTTAACGGTTTTCAGAAATCTGGCCAAGGGGGGGCCTTTCCCTGGGGACCCTGGGTCGGGTATGAGGGCGATGAGTTTTATTTTTCTGTTGTGTTTTTTTTAATCCTTTTTTGTCTTTTTTTTGTCAAGGGTTTATAAAAACGCCAGGTTAGAGAACAGATCATATTCACATTGTCATCCACGCTCTATGCAGTCGTCGGATGAGACACAGAAGCTCCTGGAGGAACAGGCGAGCCAGCCGGAGGAAAAACGCCAGCTCTGTACAGCATCGGATAGCTGTGCATCGTCGGTCCGCATGGGGCTGATCATCTGCACCCTCATGATGATCACTGTCCAGTTCACGCTGCTGCAGTTCGGCGAGAGCATTGCGCTAATCTCCGCAGCGCAGGTCGCCCTCGCCTTGCACGAGCCCCCGCGCACGGTGGTGAGCATCACCACGTTCAGCGAGCGGATCTTCCACATGGCACCCTGCCTGGATAGCGTCTTTTCGCAGTCGCAGAAGCCAGACCGGGTGATCATCACCATCCCGAAGACATACAGGAAGAAAGAAAAGACCATATGCACCCTCTCGGACTGTGACATCAACGTCGCGGATTACAACGAGAGCATAGAGAGCGTGTTGAGCTGGTTCAAGAACTACTCCACCGCGAGCTTCAACGAGACCAAGCACGACGTGTTCGAGTCCCCCGAGATCACGGTCCAGTTCCTCGACAAGGACTGGGGTCCCGGGACCAAGGTCCTCGGCGCCTTGCTGCTGGAGCACGACCCGGAGACCGTCATCATCACATTCGACGACGACATAGCGTACAACAGGAACACGGTTGAATGGCTCGCCACCCGCATCGATCGCGAGGGCATGGCGCTCTCCTTCGGTTGCGAGATGTGGAACAATCACCACAGCAACTTCAAGGCGTTCACGACCTACTCCCTGTACAACACGTTCGCGACCACCCCGCGGGTCTGCAACGGCTGGCTGGTCGGCTGGACCGCCGTGGCCCACCGCGTCAGGAACTTCGGGGAGGACGTCTGGACATACCTGGATACACTTCCCCGGGGGTGTTTCTATAACGATGATATCTGGTTGTCCGGCTACGTCGCCAGAAGGGGCATACTGAAAGTGTACGCACCCTGGGTGATGTATCACGGGTATCATCGGCGTGACAAAGACCTCAGTTTGAGCACTATCAAGGACACCAGACAGCGGTACGCTTTCCCCTGCGCAAGGGAATTTTTCGGTTGAGAGCTAATGAAGCAAAAATAAACATCTATTCTGCTCACTTGGTTTTCCATAAATGAGAGTGAACGTGAGAGTGTGGTAGGAAAGCGAATGGAGCGATGGGCGGTGTTGAACGCGGAGGTGGAGAGGGCACTGGACCCGAGGGCGGAGGGAGGGAAGATACCAGAGGGGGTGGACGTCGGGGAGATGATGGAGGAGTGGCTGACGAGGACGGACCCGACGGAGAAGAGCACGGCGCAGGTCATTCTGAGCCGGATGCATGTGCAAGGGTGCGTGCTGGCGAGGATGGCGCATCTGGTGCTCGAGGTGGACGAGAGGAGGATGCAGGACGTGGTGCCGGGCTGCAAGGAGCTCGAGATCTCGGAGGAGCCGGTGGACTCGATGGGGTGGCGGGAGCTGAGCGGCGCGCTGGACAACGTGCAGCTCAACTGGACCCGGGTGTCGTGCCTGCCTGGGGCAAGGGATCTGTGCTGGAAGCTTCTCGCCCGCTTCGGCTTCTTCGCCGCCTATGGCTTCTACGAGAGCGATGTCATCGGGGTAGACGTCGTGCACGATCGAGAGGTCCTTCAGCATGAGGGGAAGGAGGGTCACAGGCTTTCCGATCTCGCGAAGGTCCAGGCTCTGGACGCCTTCTTCTGTCTCTTCCGGTACCTCTGGCTCCTTGCCCGGGAGACGCCCGTGCCCGCTTCCGTCCCGGGGTCGGACGGGCTGAGCTTGCAAAGGTTCCACTTCGAGGCGGCGACTGACACGTACCACGGGGCGACGATGCACGACGACGTCCACTGCGGGGCAATCCTACAGTACATGCACCGCTTCTCCGGACTGTACCATTCCGTGAGCCAGGCCGTATACTTCCATAAGCCGACATACCAGAGGAGGCGCGCGCCCATGTCCCTGGCGGACTTCGAGGAGGAGGGCCGGACTGCTTTAGACTGGATTCCTGTGTTGCAGCAGCTGTACCCTGAACTGCCTCTCTATCATGAGGCTGTGGACTTTCGCCGGATCTTGGAAGAGAAGTGGTGCTGGCTCCACGCCCCGGGGAGGGTCTGGCTCCTTAGGGGGGATGGAGACTCGGTGACCGTGTTCTGGGACCCCCGCCCCGTGCGACTGCTGGAGCTCTATCTCTCCAGGGTGGATATAAGCGGTTCTGGCGGGGGGGCTGCCAGGGGATGAGTGGAAGGGCGAAGGAAGTGCGTGTGCCGCTGATATCCGCGGAGTTCGATGGAGCGGGCGATCTTCAGGAGGAGGTCAGGAGCATCCGCGAGAGCGTCAATGAGCTGAAGAAGGTCGCGTGGAAGATCAAGCATGGATTCATCCGCTTCGAGGGCAGGGAGGCAGCGAAATTGTAACGAGGGGGAGGGTGCCTTGCAGTGCGGATTTAAGCGGTGGCTTCAGTGGGTGTGTAGGTGGGAGTGATGGTGCTTGATGATACAGAGGATAAGGATGTAGTAGAAAAACGTAAACAAAATATTCCACAATCACCGCCTAGTCCCGAGGAGTATGTAAGGAGAAAGGAACTTGAAGAATCACAGGAGAAACAAAGAGAGGAAAGAGCAGCTGAACGTAAGAGGGATAAGCAGATGGAAGAGAGAAAAAAAACAGACATAGCCACGTTCATCAGTAGTTACAAAGAGGATAAAAAAAAACAAAAAATACGCGAGCAGGCTTTGAAAAAACAAGTGGATGAGCTTTCTGATAAGTTGAAAAACTATGCCAGCTACGAGTATGTAGCGAAGAACCACGATGAGATTCACGAGATGGTCACGAAACAGATCAAGCAACATGCGGACGATCTACAGAGAATGATCGATGAGAAGTACAACTCCTTGAAACCTTACGCGGAGTCGAAGACGGAGGCAAGGTCCCGGGTTGACATCGATGATGCAGCCCTGGAAGAAAAGATTCTGGGGTTACTGGAAGTTGTGATTGAAAAGAAGATAGAGCCGCAGAGTGTGGCGATCAAGCAGAACGAAACAAAGATGGAATTGACAGATAAGAGAATGAAGAACATCAACGATGCAGTGGAAGAAATGAAACACAAACAGGCGCGGTATGACGCAGAGGACCGATCTTACAGAGAACGCACGGATAGATTCGAACATCAGATCAAAGATGTGCGGGATAATTTACTTCAAAAGCTAAATTCGATATTTGTCGCTGAACACAAAGTGGAGGACCTGGTGAACAAATACAAGGACACCCGTGAAGATATTACCCGCCGGATTGAAGCGATTGAATCGAAGGACCAGGGTGTCTTGCAGGATGTTGATACTATGAAACAGGCTGCCAAACAATGTGCAGATCACATCGATGTTTTTACGAATGCGTACGAGGAGATCAAGAATTCTGTTAATGACATGGAGTCCAAAGTCACCGATTTTCAACGCCGTGTGCTTGAAAGTGATCAGCGTGTCAATAGTTTTCAACGTGAGGTCAAAATTGAAATGACGGGTATGAGACAGGTGTTGGACCAACACAGGAGTAGCTTGGAATTGAATATAGAGAGGGTTCGTGAAGATGTCACGAAATTCAATGATATCATTGGGAAGCAGTCTTCTGTGATGGAAGACCTTGAAAAGGAGCTTCAGAGTTTGGAAGATAAAGTCAAGGGGCTTCAGTCAAAACCACAAAACGTGCAGAGAGGATCCGTGGATGCTGCCAAGATGTTGTCAGAAGTAGCTGGTATTCAGAAGAAGCTCGAGGTTTACATCGATGAAAAATTGCAAGATGTTGAAGCTATACATGCAATTGATAAGGGTGAACTGGATGGTTTGAAGGCTGAGTACATGAAGCTTTACAAGAATATACAGGAAGTGAGTCAAGAGTGTAAGAAGGACTACAAGTCAACTTTGCAACACAATGATAATAACAACTCAGCGATGAGGACCGAATTTGAAACGAAGTACACAAAACTGTCATTCCAAATTAAGGGGTTAGAAGACCAACTAACCAGGAATGTACCCCAGAACACCGCAGAGGGTAAAGCCACTGATGCAACCCCGGGTATTCCTTTTACTAATTTCAGCTCGATTCAGCGTGATCTGAGAGGTTTGATTGCAAGGGTTGATGATTTCGATGGCGAATTGAAGACGATCCGAGTTACACACAGGAAGGATTTCGAAAGGGTGAAACAAGATCTGGTGACAGAGATGGACCTGCGTGGGAAGGAGCAGCGTGGTAATCTGCAGATATTTTGCCATGATATCGTCGAGGATGCATTCGAAAGGATTTACACTCCCTATATTGATAATGTAGTGCGAAAGGTTGACCTGAAGGTTGAGGATCTGAAATCAAACGTTCTTGACATTGTTGAACATGTTGAAGAGCTTCGTAATGAGGTGAATCATCGAGGTCGTGTGCCCATCCCACCAACAACAGGCCATGGTTCAGGGGAGATAGAAGAGGACATCCAGTACGATGGAAAGGACGAATCGAAAAATATGCAAGATGAGATCGAAAGATTGCAGAAGAAGGTAAGTGATCATACAAAACAAATACGGGAGATTACATACAATACGAAGCAGTCAGAGTTGCAATGGGACGATAGATTTTTGTCGTTGCAGAAAGATACCATTGGTCTGTCTACGAATATGAAGAACATGGACTTGGAGTTGGATAGGTTGGGTGAATTTCGACGTAAACAGACTGATTCGAACAAGGAAGTGAGCACCTGGAAAATCACCATGGATGAATCGATGCAGTCTTTCAAGAATGAACTAGCCAGGATTGAAAAAAATGTGAATGATATCTGGGAGTCAGTGCCGGACCATTACAACCCACAGGACAACGGCATGTCGGAGGAGGCCAGTGATTGGGCGAAAAGGAAAAAGGAGATGGAGGAATATATTGCTAAATTGAAGCAGACGATGCAGCTCATGCGGGGGACTTACCAAACCTGTACAGAAACCACGGATATGCAATTGCAGAAGATGCAAAAGGATGTCAATGATAATATAGTTTTGGTGGAACATCAGCGACATGCGGTGGAAGAACTCACAATTGCGATGCAGAAAATGAACGGTGTTATGGAGACTCTGCAATCGGAAATCAAGGAAATGAATGAGCAACGCACGGCCGCCATCCCCAGCCAAATCAACCGCGGTTCCAACAAGGATGGCCAGCGTTCGGATGTGACGGGTGGCTGGGATGGTTCTGAGAAGGGGAAGGTGGGCAAGCTGGTCACCCGTATGGAAGATATCGAGCAGAGGATACGTGACTTTGATGTGAGTATGTCCAAAGTGCGTGAGTCGATTACGGAATACCTGGAAATGTCGGGTGTATTGGCTACTGATATTGGAAGGTTGCAAAAGGGTATCGAGGATGTGGATATGAAGCAGGAAAAACTAATGCAACAGCAGCATGAGAAAGATACTGGAATTTTTACTTCAATAGAGGCTCTCAAGAATGAATCGGGGAGTCTGAAGCTTCGTGTGGATGGCCTTGAACAGAAAATCGAGGGAGTCAAAAAAGAACATTCCGCCATTACAAGAAACCAGCCCGATTTGGATGCATGGAAAGGAACCATGCTAGGAGAGGCGAGAACCGAGGCTGAGAGGGTGTGTCAGGAGAAAACAACAGGGATGGAGGCCCGTATGGAGACCTTCCAAAAGACTGTGGTGGCTGTGTCTGAATTGGCCGAATCACAGAATGAGTTCGTTGAAAGGGCACTGCGCCAGGCGACAGAGCTGGAAGCTTCATTGGATGCTGTCAAGGAAGTGGATGCCAGGCAGGATGAAGCCATCAAGGCATTGGAGGGGAGACAGGGTGAACTGGATGTCAAGGTGGATGCCGTTTCTAAGTTCCCCCCTCCCGCGCCTGTTGTCCCGGACGATTCTGCGTTGAATGCTTTCAAAGACGAAATCACGAAAGAATTCGATAACTTGGGCACTCGGATCAACAACGTTCAACACATTGCAAAGAGTGCACTGGATATGGTTCAAGAGAAGGATACGAAGCTGAACACTTTAGAGGAAGAGGTGATGGACCTGGTAGGGAAGGTCACCGCGCTGGAGGCACGTTCTCCTACGGCCTCCCCCCGAAGCTCTGATCGCAGCGAGAAGGGCCATGCTGTAGCGGAGGAGTACAACGAAGCCCTGGCCCCCCGCCTCCGTGCTCTGCAGGCCGACCTCGAGAAGGCGTCCAGGATCTTCTGGCAGTACGAGCACGGCTTCATCCGTTAGCGCGGGAGAGCATTTAAGGGGTGCAGTGGGCGGGACAGGGAGGATGTTGATTGGGGCTAAAAAGAAGAACAAGAATCAATCCAGCGCTGCACCGGTGTTCCCATCCCCTGCCGCCGCCGAGAATTCGTCATCCGGTGGGGACGGGGATGCGGCATCCGGGGATGATCAACAGATAGGTGTGCTGGGAGTAAATCATCATGATGAATTGGTTGAAGCAATTGATGATATTTTAACGAGGGTGAATGATCTGGCTGTCAGGTTTAATGAATTGGATACTGAACACAAAAGAATCGATGCAGAATTGTCTAGTCTAAAAACAGAACTGCAGACTCATGAAACATTGCACAATGATGCGATTGCGAAAATCGATAAAGATATAGAAAATATGAAAACACAGTTTGTTCAAGGATTGGATACAGAACAAAAAAGAATCAATGCAGAACTGTCTGGTGTGAGAACAGATTTGCAGAAAGGTATAGCAAATATGAAAACACGACTCAATGAAGGTTTCAAGAAGGATTCCATTGAACTTGAAAAAAGAATTCTTTTGAATGTGGACGCACATATCCAGTCAAAAATCAATGAAGATGTCGAACATAAGATTAATATTCGTGAACAACATCTATTGAAAGATATCAAAACGGATTTGCGTAACATGGAAACGTCGTTGGCTAAAAAGAATGCAGAGATTTTACAATCTCAAAAGGATTTAGATTGGAAACTGACACGGAATCATCAAGAATTCGAAAGATATCGCATCAACCATGCAAAACAACACCGCCCATCTCCGCCCGGAGAGATTGAAGAAGAACCAGACGATGAAGATGATTCAGACGGTATGGAACATGAGGCATCGGAACTGAAGCCCCGCCTTATCGCGCTGCAGCAGTGCCTCGCCACCGTGGCGAGCGCGCTGCACGATTTCCAGTCGGGCCGCGTGCGATGAAGCGCATTTAAGACGCGGATGGGTGGCGGCATGGCAGGGAAATGGGAGATTCTGTGGGCGACGTGCTGCGGGAGATCGATGCGATCCAGGCCTACGTGGACAGCCTTGATGGCTCTGTGGGCTCATCCATGGCGCGGTTTGGCATGCCTGCCGGGGATGAAGATGAGAATTGCGATGCGATCCTTACGAAGATGGAGTTCCAGATGAAGGACCTGATGGATCTAGCGTACAAGATCCGGCACGGCTTCGTGCGTTTCCCTGCGGAGACTGCGACGTTGTGAGCTTAGTGGGTGTATGCCTTGGAAGCGACGAGGAGGCCGATGTCCTCGGGGAGGAGGCGGGGGAGGTGGACGTTGCGGAGGGCCTTGGAGATCTGGATGGAGAGGAAGATGGCGAAGATCTGCAGGGAGAAGATGGCGAGGATGAAGCCGAGGAGGAAGCGCCTGGCTGCGGTCGTGTGTTTCCCGTTCCTGGATGACCCCGGGGCCATTTGTTTTGTTTTGTTTGTTTGTGCCATTGCCTGGATCGTAAATAAATGGATTGTGTGTAATGCTTCGTTCCATCCGTGTATTTGGGGAGTGCATGGGAGGGGGACGGTAAAGTATGCAGCATATGCAGAGTAGGCTGGATACTGCGATGGAGTGCCCGTGGGGGTACAACCGCCTGATCCATGACTTCTTGGACCTGCTGCAGAGAGAGGACGAGCTCGCGATGCAGGGGCATTCCTTTGGCCCCCTCTCGGAAGAGCGCCTGACGTACGGGCCGGAGGGTCTGAGGATCGTCTCCCCCATGGTGTACAAGGGGGGGAATGCGGCGGTCCAGCACGTCCAGTGCGTGAGGAGTGTGTTCCGGGTGTTCTGCCGCGTGTGCCACCGATGGATGCGGGGTCAGGACTGGACGTTCGTGGCGTGGCGGATGCTGGATAGCAACGACGCGAGGTTCGATCAGCGGTACCAACAGGACTACCTCCTGACGCTGTCGGAGCAGAGTCCGCGGGTGTACAAGAACCTGCTGATCTGCATCAGGAAGCCGCGGTCTTCCGTTCTTTAATGATCCTTTATTGGATGACCATTCCGTCATCCTCGTCCGACCCGACGACGATGAGCAGGTCGTCGAGGGTGTTGCCCGTCCTCGACCGGTAGAGGACAGAGCTCGTGCGCAGGTTATTGGAGAGGCTGTTGGCCTGCCGGCTCATGTCCTGGATGCGGGTCAGGTGCTCCTGTAAGGCGTCGAGCGCCTCGCCGTTGAGCTCCGCCCGCATGGACTCCGCGATGTTCATCACCGAGGTGCAGAGGGTGTTTATGAAGCTGGCGTTCTCGTGCACCCTGCGGGTCATCTGGATGTTCCTGTTGTTGAGCTCCTCGATCGTCTCGCGGAGGGCCTGCATGTCGATGCGGGTGTTCTGCCACTCGTGATAGAAGTAGAGCATGTTGCTGGTGGTGAATTCCATGCCCGTCTCGCTCCGTATCCTGTCCCGCTCCTCTTGCATCCGCATCCGCTCCCTGTGCCGGTCGCAGGCGATGCGCAGGCGGTGCCGCATCCAGCCCGCGTGGTTCTTGCCCTTGTCGATGCGGTCGAGGAAGACGACGAGCCCGTTGTTGATGCCGCGCTCGATGACGTCGCAGCTGATCCCGTTGCGGCAGAAGGAGCAGAAGCGCTCGAGCTGGGCGGCCGTGATGTTGTGCCTTGTGGGGATGTGGACAAGCATCTCCCAGCGGTGTGGCACTACCTCGGAGGACCAGTACCACTCGGCCATGAAGCATGCTTGCAGGAGGCGGAAGACTGAGACGCGGAAATGGATGTCACCGAAGCCGTAGAACGCCGCCCTCTGCACCGCGTCGCTGTGCTCGTTTTTCGGGGCGACGATGTAGTTGCTCATCTCGATGAGGAAGTCGGTGAAGGCGGGCAGCGACGCCGGGTCGATGATGCTGTGGATCAGGACGTGGTCGTACTTCCCTGAGAGGGACATCGATGTTGTTTTGCCGTGCGTGGTGCGGGGGTGTGCTAAGTGATGGATGGATCCCTTTTTTTTTATTCATTCAAGGAGAAGTCCGAGTCGGATAGGGAGGAGGATTCGGCGTCGGATTCTACCGGCGAGTGGATCGGCGTGAAGGTCTTCCTTTTCTTCACTGGGGTATTTGGCACCTGCAGATCAACCTTGGTCGGCAGCGGGGACAGGATCCCGTCGAAGTCGTCCTCATCCTCGCTGCATTCTGCCTTTCTTGCAAGCTTGACGAATATGGTGTCCTCGTTGAGCGACTTGATGAGCCAGGGGGCGAGCTGCGGCGTGGTGGCCATGCGTGGTAGGTGGTGCGTGGGAATGGCCAGTGGCGGCCCTGTTTTTAAAAAAGGGTCCGGAGGGGGATTTGAATTCTTTTTTTTAAAAAAAAAACGGTCGCGGGGCTCAACGGCAAGCGTAGGGGCAAGCAATGCCGGGCCGGCCTCAGATGAGTGTGTCGGATTTTGTATCAGAGCTGCGCGGCATCGTGTGTGCGACGAAGGATGTGGCGGTGGAGGAGGAGATTTGTGAGTCTACCTCATGCTTCAGCACATATGAGAACTTCAAGGATTACTGCTGCAACAAGGCCTTTGAGGTCATCGGGGACGACAACCAGTACAAGCGGTACTTCTCTCAATGCAAGGAGAACGCCGATGTCTGGGCGATCAAGGTTCACGCGGGGGTGCAGCAGGTGATGGGAGACATCAAGTCTGTGCAGGCCATGGTGGAGACGCTGCAGACACAGGGGAAGGAGAAGCTGTACCGTCTCTGCCCTTGACCCCCCTGTTTCTCGACGGATCCTGCCGGCCGGGCCCGTCAGTAGACCGACTGCAGCCTTCAGCCCCGCCTCAGACCCCCTGGAGGCCCGCCAGGAGGCTAAGTGTCCGGCCCGGAGATTGGCCGGGGGCCCGATCTCTCCGGGCGGCCGTGACCGGTCAGCGGACCGTGTCAGCAGGCCTGTGACATGTCAGCCGGCTGACAGGGGCCGTGACCCGGCTGACAGGCTCACCTGACCGGTCACGTGACACATCACGTGACCGTAATCGAATCAACCTCCACCTCACTGGCCAGAATCTATTTAACCCAAGATCCACCAAAGACTAACTCTCAGTACACCTGAGATCCTTACACCAACCTTATTCACCTCAACGATACACAGCTGTACAGTCTCTAACACCTTCACTGATGATGATAGAACTCTCAGAAGAACCACACAACACCACCAACACTTCCTTTATTCACAGCAGTCACCTTCCCTTCAGTCCCTTGCAACCCAGTACGATGCACAGCGCGCAGTGGACACGTGTCCTTCTAACCCCCTCTTCTCCGCCTGACCCTCAGGCTCGTAGATTCCTTAATTCCAGACCTATGTCGAAACCCACTTCCATCTCGCTGAGCTTCGTCCATCGATGAGACGCAATACCCTGAACTTCTCGCCGTCTCCAAGAACTTATCCGAGTTCTTACACCCTCCCTGACGAAGTTAAGCGAGATTCTCAGCTTCCTTTTCCACTTCATCCTTCATCCTCTGGGAACCCCCTTTTTAAACATCTCCCTGCTCCTCCTCCAAGCTGCACCACCGCGCTCTCCTCCTCCAAGCTCCCTGCTCTTTCCTGGATCCCAATCTCCTCCATCAAGCTCCCTGCTTCCTCCATCAAGCTTCCTGCATCCTCCATCAAGCTTCCTGCATCCTCCATGCTAGCTGCACCCTGCATCCTTCTGAATCGCAATCTCCTCTTCCATGCTCCAAGCTCCTCCCTGCACCCAGATCCTCCTGCATCCAGATCCTCCTCCATGCTCCAAGCTGCTTCTTGCTCAGGCTCCTAGATCCTTCTCCATCCATCTTTTACCTACACACTCTCTTTCATAGAAACCTCGTCAGTACCTTCAACACTCCTCCACCACCTGAACTCGACTGTGCCGCACTGCACTTGTTCGTCAGGCTTCCCCTCTGATCAGTCAGGCTCCCCAGACACCTTTCTGATCATCTAGTCGTCCATCCCATCATTGTGCTTCAAATCCCATCGATTTCAATTGTCACCCATCTGACTTTCTCAATCCAAATTTTCCACCCAGTGATGTCCACCATTCATGACCAATGTGTTTGTCCTAACTATCCTGCTCTACGGGCCCTTCTAACAAATCGCTATCTAACCGCGGTATGAATGATTTGGCGCCATGTCACCTGAGAGCTCTTGAGATTTCATTTGCATGCATTTTCATTTCAATTCTCATATTGACCATATGATCTTCTTTCATTTGCCTTTCCCATCAATCATCTCTTCATTTTGAATTTTTTCAATTTCTCAACGGCCGATTTTTCATCAATTTCAATTCTCATTTCAATTCTTGCGATCATAGGTCTTGTATCTTGCGATCATGATGGAAGGCTTCACATCCTAACCTGCTTGACTTGACCTGGAGTTCCTTGAACAGTCTTCGGGAGAAGAAGCTTGATACCACGCCACGCCAATCATCTGATTCTACTTCTCAATATCAAACCTTCCTGCCAAGGTTCTCCCTCCCTGAATCAGAGATTGGTGTAGGCGATTGCTCGTTGATACCAGCTGTACGATGAACCCCATTGTATTCAAGCTGGGATGAATCCCACTGAAGTTCAAAGTTGCTCCCAAAGCGCTGTCTCCAGGCAGTCTCTACAACTACAGTCAGCACACAGTTGCGACAGAAATCATACTGCTTGATTCTGTA